CTTTGGGCGCTCCTGGGCCCCCCCCCAGCGATGAGGGCCTGGGGTGGAGGGGTCTCGGGGGATGAAGGTCAGGCATCGGTCCCATGTCTTGCTGGAGTTTGGGGGAAAGGACAAGCATAATATTTTTATATATATATATATAAAATATAAAAATATATATACACACAAATATAGTAATAATACATATGATATGCCATATATATACACATATGCACACAATATATACATATATATGTGTGCATATATTGTATTTTAAATGCATATTTTATATATATTATTATATATATTTTAATAGTATATATACACACAATATATACACATATATTTGTGTATATAACGCACATATATATTGTACTTTATAATGTATATTACACATAGCTCTGTAGAATTGCATTATTTTATAATATATATTTACATAGGCATAGTAATTCCCGCTGTTGGGAAAGCCCCCTCCCCACGCCCTCCCTCACGCAGGGAAAAGCCCCATCCCTGGCAGCTTCTCGCCTGCAAACCAAGCCCATCAGAAAGTTGCCTTTTTTTTAGAGGAGACCTTTAACCCCCGGCCCCCGCCTCACCCTTCCCACCGAAGGGCCGCAGGGAGGTGGGACCACAGTGCCACGTCTTTAAACTCTTTTTATTCCAGACAGATCTGAGTGTTAACACAAAGTGTCGCGGTCGGTAGCTCCATCGAGAAGGTTAAAAAGAGAGGGTGCGCGCGGCAGGGTGCCCGAGGGTGGCAGAGGGACAGACGCCCGCGGAGCTCTGCCGGAGGGACCGCTGGAAGACGTGTCGGTGCTGGCGGGCGACCCTCCCCACCCCCCCACCGTGGCCCAAGGGACTTGCCATTAACGCGGTTTATAAGGTGCATTCAGATCAGGTGCCGGAGGGTGATTGCATGAAAAGGGGCAGCTGAGGATGTTGGGTGCAAAATAAGCCATAAAAAAGGTGTGTGGGGTGGGGGAAATAAGCCCAAAGTGGACATTTCCTAAAGCAAGCTGGGGGTATCTACCACCACCAGGGCCACTTCAAGTTTCCACCATCTGCACACCCGACAGCGGGAACGCTCTCAGAGTCAGGCCAGCTTCTTGCATGAGCTTATTTGTACCCTAAAAAGGTTTTCTCAAATGCGTTGGCAGCCCCCATGCTCCCCACACACAGCTGAAGGGCGTCCCAGGGTCTGGGTCTCCATCACGGCCCTTCAAGAGGAGCTAAGACGAAAGCAGAGCAGACACCTACATCTCTCAGCTACGTGGCATCAGTGTAACCCTGAGATCTACCAGCATTGCTGGTCCCAGGGTGGCAGGGTTCAGCATTGGCCGGGACATCCCACATCCCCACAACCCGTGGTGCTGGCATAGGCAGCAGACGGGGAGACCTGCTGCCTGTCCCACCAGGACCTGGGCATCTGCCCACTCCTGGCCACAGGCGGGGATGCAGAGCAGAAAAATGAGCAACAAGCAAAAATGGAAGGAGCTGAGCCCCAAGCTTAAGGGTGGGTTCAGGACATGGGTGACACAACCCTGGGATTGTCCTCTGGTTGTCCCCCGGCCAGCTCGGGGAGCAGCCAACAGACACATCTTCCAGGAGGGACTCAAAACTTCTCGCTGGCACCTTTTGCTGCAACCTGGTCCTCATTATTTCTTAATTAACATATCCAAGAAATCAATTAACGGCGACATTTCTAATTAAATACTACAGGAGATGATCATCTCATTTATTATTATCTGCTGAGGTGAACAACTTGATGTGTGTGGTGGGTTTTGCTCTCCCCATTTCTTCCACTTCCCCAATTATAGGAAATAAGAAATGCAAATGGTTGGGTTGTTCTCACAAACCGAAGGCTCCTTTTTGTACATTAGGGAAGTCGAAGAGATTAATTAGCTATTAAATGAATGTGCTTAATGTTATCATTAGCTGTTGTGTGTAGTCTTTTCTGGCACAATTTGCTGTCCTAATAAACAGTACTAATGTGCTACTGCTTTCCCAGCTCCATGCTTTTCGCTTCTAATGCTGTAGGAAGAGTTGAGCGTGGTATTTTGGTCCTTGCTGGCAGTCCCACCACCGGTGGCAGCAACCACGCTGAGCCAGTGATGGACCCACTGCATAAGGGAACCCAAACTTCAGCTGCCTGCAAGTGAAATGGTCTTTTAAGATCCATAAAGGTCAGGTTTGTGTTTGCTGAGCCTTTCTGCTGCTTTTAAATAAAAATGCATCTCATGACCCCCTGCACTGGGATGGTGGTGGTTTAAAACCTGAACCGCATCATTCATCATTCAGTGTCCCAGTGCAGGGACACTGTGGTCTCGTGTTCCCCAAGAGTTAGGACCATGAGGCAACCAAAATGTGCTCCTCATACATGCACTTTGTCCTGCTCACCATCCAGGAGGGCAAGTCACGGGATGGTGAAGGGAAGGGAAGCAGACATGGGTGTGCACCATCCTGACTGCCTGGATGAAGGGGATGCATGTGGTTTTGGAAGATCTGGGGTCAAGTCCTCTGGTCTCAAACCTCTTGGGCACCGCTGTTGCAGGTGGTATCTGTCTCCCAAATGCAAGACCCGCAGATGCTTTCAGAAGAGGTTAGAACAGGGAACTGGCCTCCATTGAGGTGGTGGCTCTCCAAGCAGGAACACCTTCCCAGTGCTTTGGGTGGAGGGCACAACATTTTGAGTTGCATTTGAATCAAATTTGAGAGCAAATGTTGTTGTCAACCTGCCAGAGGCTGTGATCGGCTCTTAGAGATAAACACCGGCAAACGCCTGACTCAGGACCCCAGGATGTATTTATTTCTCAGCACAAACTCTGCCGAGTTGACTGAGACCCATCTTCATGACACATAAAGTGAAACAAGTTTGACGGGGTTTGTACGGGAAGACGATAAATCCAGACTCATTTAGACCGTTTGATTGTCACTTGTTTGACTGTGCAGCTGCTTTTGAGCCGAGCCATAATCTCGCAGCACAGCTCCTCTGACACCCCTCAAGCTGGTCCTCACCCGCTTGAGCAGGATCAGGCCCTCGTGATTCATAGGAGCCACGTGCCTTAATAAGCCCCAAGCCTATTTTCCTCCAAACCAACGCACTTCTTATTGAGCATCACTGGATTAACGTGATGAGCATCCCTGCTAATTAACAACTTGTGCAGCCGAAACTCTGCAGGTGGTGTGTGTGCAGGGAAAGCATCCATACCTGCTTCCCATCATGGAGGAAACTGGGAATCGGTTCTTTCCCAAGGCAAAACTTGCCCAATTTGTACTTTTCCTTGGATCCAAAGCCCTGACTCCTTTCCTCTGCAGCAAAATCCTTGCTTCACCTGCGGGCCCGGCAGGCAGCCGGAGCTCACAGCCACTGAAATCTTTGATCCCTGATCATGATGTAAAACCAAATCACCATCTCCCTCCTTGCTCCACCTCTCTGAAACCACACACACACACACAAAAAAAAGCCTGGGATGAACAAGCTTTGCAGCAGAATGGTTCAGGCAGTGACAAAACCCACCAGGGAAGGGGAAATGATCCACTCAGACAGACGCCAGAGCCAGGAGGCTTCTCTCTGTCAACACAAGAGGCTGTTTCTGTCTCAGCCTCGCATTTCCATTCAGGAGGAGGAAGGCGGCAAGTTGTGCCTCCGTGCAACACGATGCAGCTTGGCTCCTAACTTCTGCGGGCTAAGTGGAGCCATAAACTGAAGTTTTAGGCTCAGAGTAGCTTTTTTCCTCCTGCATGCACATGTGGATGTGGGTGCAAGTGGGTACCCCCAGCATCCGACAGCGGTCCTCGCCTCCTCCCACCCCCTGCAGCAATGGAAAGCGACCTTTTCAGGCACACGGCTCATCCCAGCTGGCTCTCCGAAGCCTTGTGGTCATGGCTCCCATCCGTAGCTCCTACCAGCAGCTCCCACGTTTGGGGATTGCCAGCATCCCCACTCCCCTTCCTGGGGCTGGAGGTCTGCCCCACTCTTACACTGCTGTGGGGAGTTACTCGCCCCCAGGGCAAAACATGGGGCCTAATTCTGTGCTATGCTGCTCGTAGGACAGGTGCCCGTGAAAATGTCCATAGGACAGATGCCACCTCCCTGCAGCCCCTCCAAATCCCACCCGGAGCAGTTGGGGTGGCCTCGCTTCCTCCAGAGCGTACATTCATCTCATCTAGTGCATTAGAGGAACTTTACTGGGTCCAATTCAGCTGTCCCTTACCCTGGTGTAAATCCAGAACAGCTTCATGAGTGTAACTGGACCCACTCTGTGTTGCCACCAGTGTCAGGGGCCGGGAGCTGGCCCATGAACAGCAGCTGTAGAGAGCCCGGAGCTGGCCTCTCCTCCCCTGCACGCTGGCATGCGAATCCACAAAACTGATTTGTTCCATGCAATTTTTCCTGATTTACACCAGTGTGGGGACAGAATCAGTCTTCCTGAGCTGGCCTGAGCATTGTGTGACTCCAGTTCCTACTGGTCTGACTCCAGCAGGGAGTCAGAACAGCCAGTGGAGGAGGAGCACACAGTGGTGCTCAGGCCTCCTGATTTCAGGCATTGCAATAAATCCTTTGAATACATTCTGTGTCAGTGGCAATTTGGTTTTCCCATCCTCCCCCCACCCTCCCCAAAGCCCCCAACAAATTGGCACTTGAAGGATGACAGCCTGTGCATTCAGCTATGTCCATCACCACCATGGCTCCATCCCTACAATGATCCCAGAGGCAAATCTCGCTATCGGCACGGTCTTCTGCTGGTGACCATGTTCAAAATCTGTGTTCCTCCTCTGGTCCTCAGGAAGTCACTCAGGGTTTACTCTTGGGTACAAGATACCAGAAAGCCAAATTATGGCCCCTAACCCAATGGAGAGCATGGGTGCAGTGCTGGGAGGACTTGCTCCACCCCACTTTAAGCACCCCAGAGTGGAGTAGCTGAAGAGACAGACAGGCAATCATCTCCAGAGGGCAGTACACCCCTCTGAGGTTGCAGTCTCATGAAGCCATCAGCTTGGCATGGCTGCCAGGTGAAGCCGTCCTGCCCATCATTTTGACTTTAACGTCTTACAGTGTTGGTAAATACAGAGAAAGAAGAAGAGGAGAGGAGAGGAGAGGAGAGGAGAGGAGAGGAGTTCCAGTTGGAAGGGACTTACATCATCTAGTCCAACTGTGACCAATTCAGGGCTGACACAAGTTAGGCATATTATGTCCTCAGATGACAAGCTTAGCAAAGTGTGGCATAGCCGATTAGTTTAGATCAACTACCTTACTTCTAAGGTAGGATGAACCCCATCCTTTGTGTCTTTCCTTGTGCGAAGGAAAAGAGCAGATCAATTGTATTTTTGCTGTAAGATCCTTCCCTATTCAATGTGTGGGCGTGTGGGCATGTTGGCTTTCTAGTATCTTGAACCCTGGGCAAAAGGCTCCTGTGACACGAAGTCTTCCAAGTGCAATGAATGGCAGGACACCACCAGGACCATCTGCAGCAGAAGGAGGGAGGGATGGAGGGTGCACAGGCTATGACCTTTACTGTGCTAACGGAGCGTTGCACGCTCAACCATGGAAGGTTGCTTTTGTGCATGATCACTGGGGCAGGATTGGTATGAAATCGATACAGGACACTTATCAAACACCCTACCAAGCGCTTCACATTCATGCACCTGTTGATCTCTACAGAATTACTTTTGTGCAGTGTCAGTGTGGAGATTTAATTCACATTAAAACAAAATCTGTTCAGTGAAGCCTATTTTCATGTAGTTAGGTATAACCATGTAAACACGCTGTTAAACATCCCTCCATGCAGTGCTAGTTAAGTTCTGAGATTCTTCGTTAGCTAGTTCTCTAAAATGTTTGAATGTAATTTTTTTTTGTTGCTGCTCCTGTTGCTAATTTAAAACTTTTAATATTAATCTTTTTGACTGGTGTGAGGTGTCAGTTCTCTGCAAGTGTTAATTTACTCCCAGTTTGCCAGGAGTGGTGATACGTTACTATCGCTGAGCTCTATTATTTGTTTTATCTTGTTGTTTTCTTTTTCCCAGTTGGGATCTCAAGTTTCCCCCTTTCCCACCCGAAGTCTTCCGGGCTGAGATGGTCCACTTCCACTTACAATCCCTTGTTGTAGACTACAGTCTTACTGGTGGTGGCCATTGCAATTTCTGGCTCCAGCCGAGATGTCTCAATCTGTGAAATCAAAGAGGAGGCAAGATCAGAATCGATATCACATTGCTGTGCTGCAGCAGGAGCTCGATACATCAATAAATTAATGTGGAGAAGTATAATATGTAAATAATACAATATCAATCATGCCTTTTCCATGTCATTTTAATGTGCTTTACTGTGCTCAAGTCTCAAAACATCCCTGATTTGGATTGACTTATATTACATGAATTGATGCATGCTCTCTGCCTCGCAATATTCAATGAATTACAGAGTGTCTCTGAGAATCAAACGGATCCCACCCATCGTTTTCCTGGAGATATCCCTTCCTTTTTCCACAGCCAAGGTCCCCTCGCATGGTGCTAGAAGGAACCCAGTCCCCAGAGCTGTGGTTTGCACCCGCAGGGATCCAGCAAAGCCACAGGCTGCCTGGTGACACAAGGGGACAGCACACCCTCATTTGTCTTCAGGACCAAAGCTCTATATCTTCCAACAAGGATGGATAACAGTCCAAATCTGCCTACCCCTTTCTCTGTCTCCATAAAATCTCCATCCCTTTCCTAATTTTTTCCTTTTGCTGGCTTCACACAAACCCTTCCCTTCCTCTGAAATGGCTCCGAACCTTTGTATCCCTGGGAAGGATCCATGGTGCTCCCAGTCCCCACAGCAAGCAAAGATCCCGCTCCCAACTGGGACAGGACACCATGCAAGACCAGACTTTTAGAAATCCTATACATTGAATTGATGCTGTTGCTGACACAATGCTAGGAACCCACGTTAAAATCGAAATGCTTTTGAAAATGTTTAACCTAGTTAGACAAATTAGCAAAAATTTGTGCAAAACAATTTAGGTATTTAAAATATTCAATGTTTTTAAAAACTGGAAAAACTGTTCTTAGCTTTCAGCTGCAAAAACCCAACAAAATATAACATCAAAGCAATCTTAACATGAGGTGCAACATAACCCTTCAGCAAAGCTGTTAAACAGCTACTGAAGCATCATGGGAAATAGCACTTCATTTATTCAAATGCACATATGTCAGGTTTTTGCACCATATGTCATTCCAAGCTATTTACAGTAATAATTAAATCTTAATCAACGTTTAACCTCTGTAAAATGTTTGAAGGGATCTAATCACCCTTCAGACTGCACTAATGAAGGAGAAATATATAAACATAAAAAGAAAATGATGCATAGATAGCACACCAGAAAGAACAGTAATTGCAAAATTGTATTTCTTTTAAATATAATCAGCAAATTATGTAAAGTAAGCCAACGAGTATTTTAAGTGAAGACATCTTGGGTGTCAGAGGTGTGATCAGCTAATTTTGTACTGCTATCCATAACAGATGTAGCATATTTTCTTTTAGTGCCATTATTAGCAACTTCACCATTTCTTTCTGTGCTGAAACACAAAGTGAAGCATTGTGCCGGGGAGAGTACCCAGCAAAGGTGCAGGAGAGGCGATTCTCACGTACACCGGCGCTGACGGGATCCATTTTGAGGGAGGATTAACTCCGATCTGCCTGGCTCTGACACAGCTTTTCTTCCCATTGTTTTCTTATTTTTCTTCCAGAGACTGAAAGAAAAGCTCCGAGGCACTGGGGCTGGGTGGTTTCACCCACTGGTATGAAAATATCAAGGTGGAAAGTGCTTTAAAATGACCAGGAATTGGGTGGTCCAACTCTGACTGTCCATGCTGGTGTCAGTAGGGCTTGGGGACGTGAGGCAGCTTGGACAGAGCAAAACCCAACCTACTACTGGGACGTCTCCGCAGAAAGCTAATGGAGAGCCTCCAACAGTCCCCTCCTCTCCAATGGGGGATGGAGAGGTAGGAGGTCCAAGGAAAGCCACGTCTGCCTTGGTGGACCCCAGGTTAGGGATCTGAAAGCAAGACCTATGGGGAAACATTGAGGACTTGGATGTGCTGAGTCTAGAAGAGAGAAGTTCAAGGGAGGCATACTGGTACGTGCATGTGCAAGAGGCTACGGCACAGAAGAAAGGAGTAATGTTTTGTTCATGCTCTCTTGGGACACAATTCAAAAAGAATGGAGTAAGATCCAAGCTAAACAGCAGGAAGAGTATCCCAGTGGGAAGGAGCAAAGTATTGCAATCAAATGCTTGGGGAAGGTGTGGTGTCTCTGTGGTGGGAGGTTTTCAGTGCAAATTAGATGAAACCCATCAAGAACACTTTAAGCAGAATTGACCTTGTCTTGGTGGAGGAAGACAGATGAGATAACTGCTTATAGGTCCTTTTGGCTTCCTTCCCATGGGTCCAGGAGGGAAGTGGCCTCCTTTCCCCTGCATAGCTGAGCTCTTCATTCATGGCAAAGCTGCACACAAGGCTGTTGGATGGCTTTAGGAGGGACAGGATTGAGCTGTGACAGTTCAGAGACAGATTATGGTGTCTAAGCAGAAGGACAAGGGAATGAATGCCTAACGCAAGATGGACACGTGGTCAGGGACTCCTTTGAAGACCTTGAAAGAAGATAAAATCGGTCACAGGTATTGGTCTGGAGCTGTGTATTACTGAGCTCACTTAAGCTCCTTCCTGACACCTGGGAAGATGTGAAATAAATTTGCTGGGGAGTGACTGGTTGAACTGGAGCAATCTCTGCAGATTCCCTTCTGGTTGACTTTAATGAAGCAGATATTGCAAACGGCTCTAGAGCCTCAGCTACAGGAGCTCCAAGGGGTGCCATCGCACCGCCGAAGCAGGTACAAGAGGAACATACTCTACAGCAGTACTGACAAAGCCATTCAGAAATGCATCAGGAGTAACTTCCTCCTCTCACTGGGAAATCAAACACAGAAGAACAGGGGGAAGCATTTGGGTGATAAGCTACAGATATTAAGAGACAACCTTATTGTACACCAGTACAGCCTTTGAATCCCTCAGGGCTTTTTGTTGGAAAGCATAATTTCACCTATTTTGGTGTGGACTGCTACTCAGGCTGTTCAGCATCCTGGACCTGCTTGGCCAGCTTTCCACTGGACACGGCACTGTGAAACAGATCTGGAGACCACAGTTTCTTCTCAAGTTTATTCTCAAGTTTCTTGCATCTCAGTTTCAAAGACCTCCCAGAAGGATCCTTCTTGGTCATGGCCATGCTGGCAACCCCTCTACCAGGAAACAACCTGCCACGGAGAGTGCTCTAAGGAACAGGTTCTACCCTGTTGGGACTAAAGTGATGTGACCTGCCGCATTTCACATGGGGTGACTTCGTCTTTTCAAACTGAGTGTCCACCATAGGACTGGGCTTGAATTGTGTTCATCCTCTTCCTCCTGATGAGGTAGATCTACCTGTCCTAAGATAACGAATGGATTCCCTTCCTGGCTCTGGAATGATAATGCCGAGGTGCCTACCAGAAAAGGGCCTGCAACCTCACACCTCATCAACAATGAATCCAGGGGAACAGAAGTCCAAGAGAGACACAAGCTCACAACAGCACTGAGGGAACCACAGTGTGAAAACACCACTCCCAGAGCGTGCTATAAGGGGGTTGGTTGGGACAAAAAAACCCAAGCTTTCAGGCCGATGGCTGTATGAGCATCAGTGCAGCATTGACCACTCAGTATCTTGATGTACCATCATGGGAGACACTATAACAAGCCAGCAGGAAAAGAAGGAATAGCTTCACCCCTCCTGTAAGGTTACTGGAAGCTTTGCTATAGATGCAGGAATCCCAATCCTTGCTGGGGATATGTCCAAGGCGCATCTCCAAACTCATCCAGAAAAGTGGCTGGTGCCAGCCATAGCCCATCACAGCACCTGGGAGCCAGCGCGGCCTGAGGACGCTCTTCTTCCTTAGAGCCGATAGCCAAGTGCAGGAAGAAAAAAAGGTAAAAAAGGAAGGGTGTCCCCTGACCTTATTCAAGCAACTGTTTATAGAGCAGCATCACCCAGGTAATGCAGGCAGGATGACAGCGCTGGCTTTTTAGCGGTGTTCCTGACCCGGTGATATCCATCCTCCCGGGGAACAAAGCCGCCGTGGAGGAAATCTCCTCTTGTGGTGCCCACCGCACGCCAGCTCTTTTCCCCCCATCTCAGCCTTGCAGTGGAAGCCTCTCTCCTCTCATCAGCACAGACAAGGCTAATTGGGGTGATAAAGAACTGGCTCCGAGTGCTGGCGTGGGCTGGAGGAACAAATGGTGCGGTGGTCACAGCTGGTGCTGCGGAGACGGAGAGGGAGAGGGTGTGAGGCAGGCTCCCGGCGCCCAAAGTTTCGTCAGCCCATGTTGGATGCGGGGCGGCGAGGTGGGGGGTTGTGTGTGTTTTGCATTCGCTGCTGACACGGGTGTAGCGTACATGCACGTCCGGTGAAGCAGAAGCAGGCAGAAAGCAGATGCTTTTTGTTTGGGGTTGATACTCATTTCTATCCCAGCTCGGGAAAAGGTGTAGAAAGGAATGTGCTCCTAAGAGTGCAGGGAGAGAGATAGGTCTAGGCTCGCTGCCAGGGATCCTGTAATGATATGGAAGGCAGCTAGGGGAGACAGGAGCAGATGGATTTGGCATACAGCTCATCACTCAGCCAAAAAAAAAGGGAGGAGGGGGGGAGAAGAAGGAAGAAAGCAGCCAATTTTGGTAGGGGGAGGGTCATACGGACTGAGGGATGCTGCACTGAGAGGTGGGGGGAAGGGAGGATCAGGCTGGTCACTGTGTCTTCTGCTGCGGCCTCGGCAATGCCAGAGAGATAGCTCGGTGGTGGCCCCAGTTTGGAGCCCAGGAGGGCTCTCCTGGCCCTTCCAGCAGCCCTCTGCTGTCTCCTCCTGGGCCATAAGACAGAAGGCCAATGCCAAGCTAACCGAGCCCTAGTGAAGCCCGGTGAGGTGTAGCAAGGTTAATAAATGGCACTGTGAAGGATCAGCAACTGCAGTTTCCACAGTGGTGGACTCAGCGCACAGCTAGACAGAGAGGTGGGGCACGTTCAGTACCACCAACAGACTGCTCTGTCCTTGGTGTCCTCGGCAAAAGAGGATCATGTTTTTCCTTGGATTGATGAGCTCATCAGCCACACCATG